TATCATGTGGTTAAGCGTTTACGGCATTGAAATTATACAGTATATTAAATACATTTGTATGTAAATACACGAGTAACGCTAGAATGCCGTAAATGTAAATGTTAACAGTTCCTGTATGAAATGTCGTAGCTAGAATAACATGAAATACCTCCCATTCACTTATTATTCAAAATTCGTTTTTGTGCCTTATTTATTAGAACAGTCCTGTTAAGAAAGTTTAAACCAGTCGCTATCAATTCATGTATGGTTGTCAATTATATATGTAATGTAACAAGTCATTGACTGCATCTATCTTGTAATGTTATATTGTTTAAATATCTCTCTATATATGAAACTTCACTCTGCCACGAATAAAGACGTAAAGGGACTCAGCAGCCTTCTCTCTGTTTTAAAGGTGATAGCCGAGTAATCAGCTCTACCAAGTTAATTCTCCCACTATCTTGGTCATTGTGACGTAGCAAACGGCACCACGCCCACACAAGGCAAACGGTCCCAAACACAAGCTACGTCATATGAAAACAACCGTTCAAGGGTTTTCGTAAACGATCATTTAACCGATCGTTCCCATAGCGGTGTAAAGCAAGGTTGTGTGTTGTTGCCGACGTTATTCTCAGTTTTTATAAACGACTTGGTTGATGATATTAATGGCCTTAACTGTGGCTGAGCATGCTGTTATATGCCGATGACAACGCATTGATCACTGCAGATGAAGACTCACTCCCGCTTTTACTTAATTATGTAGATAACTGGTGCAAAAAATGGCGAGCACACACACACACACACACACACACACACACACACACACACAAAGTTCAGTGTGTATTATGAAATTTGTATTATTATACAATTATTACAGAGACTTGATAAAGTGATAATAAAATGTATTTGAGAGGGAAGTGTCTGGTGAGTTGTTCCCCATAGACGTAGCTGGGCAACGTAGATAAACACCATGCCCGAACAATCGCATCCGAAAGTGAGAGCGATATGAATCGGTCGATGGAGAAAAAGTACAGATAATCGACGTCGGGATTGTGGGAACATGCCGGAAAGACCAAATTCACCCCCACAACCCCCTGTTCATAAAATGGACTCGATGGATTCTATTTAGGGAGTCATCATTATTTAAATACGGACAGCTATTTTTATAGCTTGTACTTTTTACTAACCCCCTTAAAGAGGCTGTACGTAATATTGATAGATCATATAAGAAATAAACGACTCGTGGTCGTTGTTTATCGTACAGTAAACTCCCGCTGCGTCCCTCTTGGTTTATTCTCCCTGTTGTGCTTTATTGTACCCCCACTCGTCGTTTGTTTCTTAATTACATGAGTGTACACGACAAAAGCCTTTCCATAATTATAAGAAATCCTTGCCAAAAGTATAGCCGACTGCACGATTCCGACAACACCAGTGGCATGTGTCAGGATTCACCATCAAACAATGCTGACACTGGGTGCTCGCAAAACTTAAGGCGAGCTCACGCCGCCCCACCGGTGGCACCCGCCACAAACACATGCAAAGGCAAGCCAGTTGTTCACCCGTAAAGACACGGGAATACACGGCACACGTCAAAATATGGAAATGCACCAGACATCATTTTGGTCACTGATACGTCAAACCAGGAAATGCTGTCTTCATGTCCAACACAAAGATAACACACAGGCCCTGAATCATTTAAACCCGACCAAACAACCCCCTGACGCTTACCGAAATCCAAAGTTCTGATAGTAACATACATTTCCCCCTCACCTTTACTAGTATATACTAATCTATACTGACCTCACTGCACAATTGAGTTCTAGCACTCATAAGGTTCTTTTCGGTGGAGTCTTCTATCGCCTACAGTGCATTTTGCCCACAGTCGCTTTGCCTACAGAAATTGTAGCATGGTGTGGTAGTCTGCCTACACTAATAATAATACATCCCTAACTGGCAAATGGATTAGTCAACTCACTATCTCGTTACAGGTTAACAAATTCAAACAAAGCTACTGTAACAACATATCAAGATAAAACTTGTAACTCTCTTATCTTGTTATGTTGTTACAATGTTTTTACCTGAGTATCTCACATGAAAAGAGAGAAGACAGCATATAATTAACAGTAAAGTATAATATCAGTGACAACATTAAATCAAGTATGAAGGCTCAGCCATACAAGATGATACTGGTTAGTCCAAACATGCAGCTACAGTGAGTAATAGGGATGAAGGACTCAAACTGGAGTTAAGCTACAGGGAGTAATAGGGATGAAGGACTCAAACTGGAGTTAAGCTACAGGGAGTAATAGGGATGAAGGACTCAAACTGGAGTTTAGCTGCAGTGAGTAATAGGGATTAAGGACTCAAACTGGAGTTAAGCTACAGGGAGTAACAGGGATTAAGGACTCAAACTGGAGTTTAGCTGCAGTGAGTAATAGGGATTAAGGACTCAAACTGGAGTTTAGCTACAGGGAGTAATAGGGATTAAGGACTCAAACTGGAGTTTAGCTACAGGGAGTAATAGGGATTAAGGACTCAAACTGGAGTTTAGCTACAGGGAGTAATAGGGATTAAGGACTCAAACTGGAGTTTAGCTACAGGGAGTAACAGGGATTAAGGACTCAAACTGGAGTTTAGCTACAGGGAGTAACAGGGATTAAGGACTCAAACTGGAGTTTAGCTATAAAATATGCGGGAAAAATCTAAGTTTCATCCGATGCCACGGCAAATCCACAGCATGTAGAGTATGTCTTGTCCCAGATAGGTGGTAGGCAGGTGATCCTTGGTGGGTACAGATACAGACTGAACAATCACCGTCAGACCTGTGTACACTGGAAGTGTGTCGATACCGGGTGCCTTGGAACATGTACAACTATTGGTGATTTTGTCCGAAACAGTACATCCCACAACCATCCTCCCGGAGATGAAACTCAGGATGACCTGCCCGACACATGGAAGACAACAACAGATGCTTAGCGCTTCCTCTGCATTGATGAAGGACAAGATGACAGAATCCTCTGCTTTGCAACAGATTTGAATTTGCGCCACTTGCAACAGCTGACATCACTATATCGATGGTACGTTCTACTCGTGTCCAGCCCTCTGGGATCAGCTGTATGTAATCCATGGACTCATTGGCACCAAGAAGACCCAGTTAGTCTTCTGTCCTCTGCCTATCCGTCGACGTGAAACCTATGTCCTCTTGCAGGTGTCCAGGATTGCAACTGGAGATCTTTTAGTTTATCCTTAAATAATTTTTTCAGATGACCTTGACTTTAAAAGGTTTATGATCTTGACACACATACGTTTTGATTTTCGTAAGGGCTTTATCTGTAAACATATCCACGCGATGCGAAGACTTACTGTAACTTGTTAATATCGTGATCTGTTTAACTTAATTGTGTTTTTGTTTTGCGCATTTTATATATTTGTAGTGTTTCCGAATAACATGTTTATACCATAAAGCGTATTTCTACTAATGTATTTCTGTATGCCTCGATTATATCATAAAACGGTAGGCATTCCCGGCTAATCCATGGAAGTGGCGCTTGCGGTACCAACAGCAGACTCATGAGTTCGGCTTTCCCGGGACTATCTACTTTTCCAGTGTTACATGCCCAGCCAATAACCCCACCTCGTCTGCACGGCTACAGTCGCCACTGCCGCACTGCCACTGCTCAGCCCCGCCCACCGTTATTTCGACCGATTTTTTTTTATCCACTAAGTAAATTTGTATTATACTTGTCAATTACTTGCTGGATTCTGTCACAGTAAACTCGTGACCAGTGACCTACTTTACCTCAGATACGAACTAAAAGTAAGAACTGACGGTCTGATCCCATTTGTTAGATACGTACACCAGTTGCCACATGGTATGAAAAGGGAGAACCTACGACCACGGTTTGGGGATTACAAACCTAGAAACATAACCAGGTCGAATCTGGTATTCGGACCCATCGTCATACGTTCCTGGCACCCTTAAGGGACTCAACTCTGCACCGCTAATTCTGGCATCGTAGCACACGCACACCTATCCCCGCAAGATAGTCTGGACAGTCTGTTTACTTTATTTGAAGTGTTTAGGTGACGTGAAATGGGATTTAACGACGTGTCCAAGATGATTACACTTATATAGTGACGTGCAGGCACACTGAGATACCATGCCGCAGCTTAACATGAACACCCCTCTCAGACACAGTATACTGACTCCGAACCGACCAGTCCTTGTTTTAGACCCTTAGTGCCTAGCGCGCAGTATCACAACCAGTACCATTTTATAACGTTTTTTTGTATGATCCTGACCTTCCGCTCTCCGGGAGGACGTTCTACCACCACGGGGGCAGTCTTGAAGTGTTTAATCTCATGATATGATACATGCCCGTTTACAAGGTACATCTGAGCAGGTTACATAATATGCACGGTAGGATACTGTACAAATTCTGTGATATAACCTGTCAAAGATAGGCGTCTCTCTTACGTGCTCAAGGTGATTGGTATTTTTCAACCCGTCACTTTAATGACTCGTGTGCATAATATGGATAGGAACATGCTTTGTTGGTTTGTTGTTTAACGCCGCACTCAGCAATATGCCACCTATATGACGATACAGACAATACAGAGACTGACATCATGAGCAATCGATCCGCGCAATTGGGATACGACGACTCACCAAGTCAGCGAGCCTGACCTCCCGATCCCGTTAGTCGCCTCTTACGACAAGCATGGGTTGCTGAAGACCTACTCTACTCCGGGAGGTTTACGGGTCAGGAACATACACACTGTTTGCTCAATAAAGTGTTAATGTATAGTTTTACCGAACAGTCGAGTGATATTTAAAAAAGGAGGAGTTATTGTATCACTTTAAACAATTGCAATTATTTAATTGTCTGCTCGAATTCATCCTGGTCAAATGTTAAATCTCGAAGTAAGCTGCGGATCAATCACGCCTTCGGCTGGTGCTTTGAAACTGACATTGAATGGAAACAGTTACGTTGTCTAGCTGATTATTGGGGATTACTTACGCGCTTCTCCACTGTGGTGGTTCGTATATGTAGTGGAGACGACCTTTGGTTGTTTCATGGTCCCCTTGTTGGTTTTGAAGGACGCATTTGAATACTGTGGATAGGTTCCTGGGAGTCAACACAACAACCTTCACGACAGCGTCCTCGTCCCTGTCGTCGTAGTAGGCAGCGTAGACAAATGTCTTGTTGTCATCCACCTTCTGAAATCCTTCATAGCGTGGTTGATGCGCTCGGTAAGGTTTTCTCAAATAGCTTTGTCTAAAATTTGCAAAGATTGTCGTGGATGACAGTTCTTTAAAATACGGCTGAACAAAAGCGTATCTATTACCTAGAGCGACCAATATAATCATAATGAAGGTGATTATCTCCAAAGCAATAACCATTTTATGCAAAAGTGTAGCCATTTTGAAAGCTAAAAAATACTCTCCTGCTAAAGTTTAAACCCGGGTATTTCTGTTTCTGTATTCAGCATTCGCCTGTTACCTGAAAAATAGATTGAATACAATTAGCAAGATGCAACACAAACAAAACCAATAAAGAATTTAAACATACTGTTCAATGAATGAGCCAGAGGTAGTTATTTAAATTCTGAATTACACACGATAGCAAATCATTCTCTTGTGTTTAAGAATACATATTATTGCACAAACTGAATTTTATGATTTCAACTGAGTCTAAGATTTTCAATAGAAGTTATTGTTATATAAATTGGATATGTTATACATTTGAGAAAAGACATTATATTTACTTCATTCTATATTGCATTGTGAGGTCGGGTATGTCATCGTTATTTGATGCACTAGATTCTAAATGCTTTGGACAATACTCCCCAAAACAGTTTTGCAGATTTCCAAAATTATATTCCCCTTGTCCTTGTAAAAAAAATACGTAAAAAGTAATTTGCCACAAACGGGCATCTATAGAAGCTCCTAACAGCCGTGGTTAATAATATATTTATCGCTTTCCATTGCTGTACTACCGCGTTCCCTTGCAATAATTTGGATAAGACATAGACGCCCCTTCAAGATGAAGAGTGTTACTTCTAAGGACACGGCGATATTGTGAGTACTATCTTTGTATCCATGTTCTATTTTCAGAAATATTCCGAAATTCAATAACAACGCATAAAGTTCTAGCAATTGGAAAACCATTGGTCCAGTTTTCGGCGCCATCTGGCAAAGAGAAGGACAGGACATGCTGTCCCTACATCTGTATCTGCAAAATTATTAACTTGTTTTATGAATGTTTAATATTTTATAAATTTAATATCAATTTAGAGCTTTGTACATGTTTTTGTCAAGGCAATACAGACAGTCCCTCAATTATGTTCTCCTTTCATTCACGTTTGTTTTGTACTGGTTGCGGGAAAAGCCCTTCACTAACATGTGACGAAGCAGATTGGTACCAAAAGACGAACGAGCCGTCAATCAAAATATTCCTCATTATTTTGAAAAGAATATCATTTCATAACTGTCATTTTTGTAAGTGAAAATATAGAGATAAAGGAATAACTGTCCCGTTTGTGTACACATGTTCTGTATAAGCTTTGTCACCGAGCAACTATATTGTCCTATTTACATCATTACTATTGAATGAATAACACCACCATGAACATATTGCAGTGAACATATTTTTGTCCATCATAGTTTATATCTTTTCATTTGATATATATTTGAATTCATATGAATAATTAAGCGAAGAAGAATACAATTTATCATCTAAAACTGGCTCCCACAGGAGATATCGCTTGGGTGAGATCAAGCGATATCTATACTGTAGATATCGCTGCAATGAAATTGCATCACAATGCTTTGCAGATCATTGTGACGTCATTGGTTACCATGACGTCACAATCAAATGTCATCACTAATGGCTCTGCTACTGAAGCTGTTTATCAGTACTTTTTACACTTAAGACACAGCTTATTACTTTCTACAAACTCAAAAAGTTGGAAGAATGATGTTGGATGATAAATAAATTACTCGTTGATAAAAGTGGAAAAAAAATCCCCGGCAAGCCTCGGAGTTTTCCGACTTTTATCAACTCGTGTTGATATATTTGATATCAAAAGACACTCGGGTGAGATTCTCTATATATCCTTCAGTTTCTGGACTGAACATCACTGCTCATCACTTGTCCCAGCAGGTTCCTTTGACGCGCCGTTTGGCTTGTGATTATGTGTAACTCACTGATTACTATACATTGACACGAAGCTGATTATGTTAGATCCATGGCAATACTATTCATATAACGCCATCTCCAAGGAATACATCACATTCAGTTGTCACCTTGGTACTTTTAATATCCCCAAAGTTGTGTAGAATACTATATACAGGACCGGCTCCGTGGTCTTGTGGTTGAGAGTCCACCCGGAGAGCGGAAGGTCCGGGTTCGATCGTCATACCAAAAGACGTTAAGAGATGGTACTTGTTGTTAATATGTCTGGCGCTCGGGGCTAAAACAAGGAATGGTCGGCTCGGAGTCAGTATACTGTGTCTGAGTGGGGTATTCATGTTAAAACGCGGCATGGTATCTCAGTGTGCCTACACGTCGCTATATAAGTGTAATCATCTTGGTCACGTCGTTAGCAGTATAAATCGGCATCAGTCCGGACTAGTACCCCCCCCCCCCACACACACACACACACACACACGCGACGCGACGTTATGGCTTGAATCACTTGAATCACTGAATCATGTATGACTGCACATTAGCCTACTGCTATTTTAGGGTTTGTCTTCTTCGTCGTAATACAGGTACTCCTTTTATAATCAGTGTGTGAGGGAGTGCCTGCGTGTGCGCGCATATGTTATAACAGATAACACCATGATATAGAATATGATGTATTGATTTCCAAGTTCTCATGATGTTATCGGCGGGTTCACAAGTCAGGTGATGTAAGGAGGAATAAAGAGGAGCATCGAAAAGATGTGATCCCCAGTACCCTCAATCGACTTGAGAAACAATACATCCTGTTCAGCAACCATCTCCTACCTCACTTCACTAGGTTGTAGTCACTCTAGTTTGATAACGGGGTAAGAATCCACATCACCATATGCAATAAACCAGAAACTGTCATCCATAAAGTTTTGCGTTTTGTTAAGATGTGATCCCACTCATAATGCTCACACCTACTCAGAGGATGTAACAAAACATATATTTTCGACAGTAATACAATTGCCAGATGACGCACTTTCAGTTATAATCTGACTGGTGATGCTGAGTGAGTGAGTGAGTGAGTGAGTGAGTGAGTGAGTGAGTGAGTGAGTGAGTTTTAGCAATATTCCAGCAATATCACGGAAGGGGATACCAGGAATGGGCTTCACACATTGTACCCATGTCGGGAATCGAACACGGGTCTTCGGCGTGACGGGCGAACGCTTTAACCACTATGCTATCCACAGCTCCTGATGCGGAGGGTCGACATTTGGCAGATAGTCAGCAATGAGGATATTTTAATAAGTAGAATTTCTAATGATAGTGCGCAACAGCATATATTGTATGCTATTTTGGTGGATATTCCCTGTCTTTGTCGTTTGTTTTGTTGAATGTTCTGTTGCCATGTTATGAATGTTGAGATAACTATCGAGCATACAGAACTGTAGTTATATTAATACAACATTTATTATTCAAAATATGAACATAAGCGTTTACAAAAATGTATCGTTTTACATAAAAACAAAAATAATTAAGTGACTCGTAATGTGCTGCAATCATAACACTGCACTGCTGGGTTGACTAGTTAGTCTCTAACATTGGAGCAGCTTGGAATTCACTCTTGTGAGAACATACAGTCAACATATTATTTATCTTTCTTATTCCATTGGGGTATTCCACTTTATATTTCCCCTATTTTCATATGTAAATTCTGTCTCCAATGTCCAGCTACCCATCTGCAGCTACACGCAATACAGTTTTGCGTTTTCTATTGTGAGGTTTGCATAAACAGTTTTCCTGACACCAAGAAAGACTTAATCATGGAAATCCTCCAACAATTTGTATTCAGTCCCTAATAGAATGGAGACATGGTTCACATCACATCGGAACATAAACCTGTTCCCACCTTCGTCTACACTGAGCCTAAGTCGTTCTACCAGTTTTATTGTACCGCATCGCATCGCAGAATATAAAGCTTTAGAAAGCTCCATTCATCCCTTCCTTAGAATTTGTTTTGTCGGAAAAGAATGTCCCTGAAGACATATCGATGAATTTGTTCAACGACCAGAAGCCCTGACCTCTATCATACCCCACCAGAAGACGACCCGTGAAGATCCGGGGTAGAATAGGTCTTCAGCAACCCATGCTTGCCGTAAAAGGCGACTATAATTGTCGTAAGAGGCGACTAACGGGATCGGGTGGTCAGGCTCGCCGACCTGGTTGATGCATGTCATCGTATCCCAATTACGTGGATATATGCTAATATTGTGTTGGATTGCCTTGACCAGAGTCGATTATTTACTGGTAACATTTTGCAGTGAGACTATTCTGATATGACACCAGTATATATTGTGGGAGATCACTGGTAACACTTTGCAGTGAGACTATTCTGATATGACACCAGTATATATTGTGGGAGATCACTGGTAACACTTTGCAGTCAGACTATTCTGATATGACACCAGTATATATTGTGGGAGATCACTGGTAACACTTTGCAGTCAGACTATTCTGATATGACACCAGTATATATTGTGGGAGATCACTGGTAACACTTTGCAGTCAGACTATTCTGATATGACACCAGTATATATCGGTGTAGATTGCGTCTTGTTTAAGCGAGAGCTTCAAAAAGTAAACTAGGACTTCTACCACAAAAGGAATATAGAAAAGGTTTTGAAAAAAGCGAGAAAAGGGAAAAGTGTACTACTTCGGTGAACATTGATTTAATTTGTTATAAAGTACAAATGTGTGATCTTTCATATCTAAGCAGGGTATGAAACTCCCAAAAAATTCAGCCAGACCACAGGACTGGCTAGCTGAAATACTTGCCAGCCCTGACCAAAACCTGCCTGCCCACTATAATCATATGTTTCTCAGGATAATTTAATTAAAAATATGAAAACTGATTGCTTGTAGCATAAGCGCATCGCTAAATGTTAGGTTGTCTAAAAGCTAACAGGATTTCTTTTTGGTTACATTTTATCATTCTTCTTTACATGTGAATTAATGCTTATCATCGGGAAATATTTAGAATATTTTCACCTATGAAATATGACCCGACCGTCGGGCAGGGGGATTTGAAAATCTGACAGCCCGAGTTGAAATCAACCCGTCTCGGACGGTCGGGCAGGCAGGTATTTCGAACGCTGATCTAAGATTACAATTTTTTTTTGAAAACTCACCCTACCGCTTCCAAGTCAACTTGATACATCGTCTACAACTTTGGCTGAGTTAAGGTTTAGTAAACGGAAGCTGACAAATATTAATAACACCTCTATAGACGTATTGTGAAATCTGTGCGGCAGTACATGCATTGGGGAGTT